AAAAAAAATATTCCTTGTAGTAAATGAGTTGCAGCAGCTAAAAAGGCAAGCCTGCTCCTAGCCCTGTATGCCAGATGGAGCTTGTGGACTGACTGGCATGCCAGGTCTGGAGCCAGGTCCCAGAGCCATTGCAATTAATACTGCCACCGCTCCCCTGCTGCCAAATTTGCAGACATATTGGTACCTGCATTCCTTGCATATAATGTGCCCCCCAATTTCCACTAGCTGCTTTTGGGGGAAGGTGCAGATTATATGCAAGAAAATACAGCAATAGGACAGCTGAAAACATGAAGGTACAGGGGCTAGGTTTTGGCAGCTTAGTTGAGGGAAAAACAGTATGTACATACATATAGCAAGAAAACACTTTACTCTAGATCAACATCACTACAGACTTTGAATCCTGCACATTTTGCTGATGTTACAGTTACTGCCATCTCAAAATTACACAAACTTCTGAACTTTGTGTCTGGAAATTTTGACATTTTTTAATACATACAGATAAGCATACTAAGATTTTTAAAATGATTCCACCTTAAGTCTGCAACATTTAAGATAATGTGAGTTTTGCTTATTCTTAGTTAGAAGTCCAAGTTATAGAGAAAAAGCAGATTCCTAAGCTTTATTAGTAAATTACACAAGAGCTACAAGCAAAAGTATAATAATTTTGAGCCAATGCTTTAATGATAACCTACATTTGCAGGATATTGCAAAAGAATGAGGATCAAGTGTAATGAGCTTATAGGGGTCACTCTATTCTATTATTCATTTTCCTTGCATTCCAAAAATCACATTTCTTCATGTAGTAAGTAAAACAGGCATTATTAGAGCTGTGGGTACACCAAGTCATCACTTGCCCACACCAGACATTTTCTATCCAGTGTAATTAGCAACTCATTTTCATGACTTCTCAAATAAAGAACAGTGGAAACATGTCACTGCTTTGAAACACAAAAAAAAAAAATCAAAATCAAAATCACATGCCTATATTTATTCAGTTACTCAACAACTTGGTCTTCCAACAGCCTGTATGAGGACAGGAAACATTCGATAGCTTCCTTCTTAAAATGTTCTGTGACTGGTGTTTTGAGTACCCAATTATCAACTGCTCATCTCCCATACTGTTGCTAATTTTGGGAGATTATTCATCTAATCACAATCCCAAAAATCAACCCACTGATTTTGCATGCAAAAGGCCCCAAAAGAAGCAAACCAAAAAAACACAGCTATCCCAAATATCCAGTTTGACTTCAGACTACCTATTGCCTCATTTCCTCCCCTCTCCTCCCACACACACACAGGTTAGATCTTCCAACCTAGTTTGGTTGCTACAATAAATTGATCCCCAGCTGTCTTATAAAAGAACTGTGCATCCATTCCAAAGTATCCACATCCCCAGCAAAACAAAAAAAGGAGCCTTCCACCAATCTCAGACTAGGCTCAGCTTTTTCCTTTTAAGGAACCTGCCTTCTACCCTACCTGTCTACAAAATAGGTGAAGAAATGTGTAAAACAGAGACCATTTAAAAGTCCTGCTCCTTTAAAAGATCACACCAACAGAGCTACGTCATCTGGCTCGCCAAGCTCCCCACAGGTCTAGAAATTTGGCAGCAGGGGAGTGGAAATTAACACTGATGACTGCCAAATCTCTGGACCCTTGGGAAGTTCTGTGGGCCAAATGACACTACTCTATGGGCCAGATCTGGCTTGTGGACCAGGGGTTGAACATGCTGCTGTAGATGGACAGTGCGTAGTAAACAGGTAAAAACCCTGAACCGTGGTCAGTGCAGGTGAAAATTGCATAGAATATATTTACTTAATGGGCATGTCCACACGTGCGCTTTAATGTGTATTACCCTATTTTAAAGCATCAAAAAGTGCCCTTTTGCTAATGCACGTTAAAATAAAGTAATGCTCCCTTTTCTAGTACCTCACATGGGAGCTACTAAATTTAACGTGCATTAGCAAAAGTGAATTAATGAACATGTAGACATGCCCAGTATCCTCTAATATCCCCACCTAAGAATGTGCAAACAGATTTTTTTTTTGCAGGAGACCTATGAATTACTCACTCTCAGGGATAGCAAGTCACAAGAAAGCAAGGTCCATGGCAAAGTCCTTGTTTCAAAGCAAAAAGGCAGTAGACCTTCTCAAAGAAAATGCTGTAAAAAATATTTTCACATGTGCAAGAGAATATTTTTCTCCTTATTAGCTTCAGAAATGTTTAAACCATTTTAGTTAGCAGAAATTGTCTGAAAGAGTTTCAGCTTGTTGGAAAAATTAAACTAAAAAGTGTTTGGGTCTAGCAAAGGCCATCAGCTGAACATAGAGCCACGTACAATTTCACTCTCCCTAATCCCTGTCCTCCTCTCCCCCACACTTAAGAAGATGCCTACTTAACCAAACCCTAATTCTGGGTAACATTTGCACTTGACTTTAAGTAAGGAGTCCTCTACTAAACACTGTTTGTTTGTTTTATTGATTTATTTTACATGAGATACTACTTTGAAAAAAGTCTGCATAATACTTCTTAGGACACTCTTCTGTGAACCTCCCTTGCCCTGATCCTACTTTGAACTGCATATTCACTAGAGGACCCCACCTACTACCATGCTGGGCAAAGTTTATAAATGCACAACTATTTCATAAAAGTAAAAAAACAACATTCAAATAAAAAAAAACTATTTTGGCAGAAGTACAACAGCAGTGCTTTTAACAGTCTCTAAAATGAGCATGAGAGTAATCCTACAGTCTCTCTTAACCATGTGCATATTTAGTTATGCCCTGAAACAAATTTTAACACGGGACAGAGCCAAATGACACTGCTATGGATGCTGGTTTTAGTACCAAGTGCTGCATTGCCATGGGAAAATCCCCTCCCTCAGAAAAACAAATATAAGACAGCATCAGCCTGTGAATTCATGTCTGCCAGGCACAGCTAGTTTAGACTATCTCTTGTAAGCTTATCCCTAGACATGGAAAGGGTGTGGCAACATAAAGCTGTTCATAGTTTATACACAAAACACTGTGACAGCAAGTGCTGTTATCTGGTGCTATATCCAAAGAATCTTTCCTTCTAATAAAAGGCCTTCTAAAACAGACCACACATCTTTGCTCATCTTACACCTTGGATTTTAAAACTAGAGTGGCACTTCCTGATGAGATAGAACTAATAATCGAATACTGCTCTAATTTGCAACAGAAACAAATACATAATTAAGTTTATGTTCAAGGTATCCACATGAAAAAAAAAAATCCCCACCCATTTAAACGGTTTACCACGCCTAGCTCTCAGTGTTGTTGGTACTTGCACCAAACAACAAGCAATAAAATAACAATTGAATAAGTGTTTGGTATTACAATTGAGGTCAAACAAAACACCAATAGGAAATTAATGTTATACTGCGTTACTACAAACTTTCACCTTAATAACCACTCTCTCTACAGTGATTACCACAGTTCATACATTTAGAAAATGCTGAGATCAACAGTGTTATAAAATTAATAGAGTTATCTTTTTACCAATAGTAGAAAGTCTGGAGCAAAAAACTGTACACAATGAGATTTTTTTTAATAAAGTAACTCCCACATACTTCACCAGAAACTTTTGAATAAGACTTTCCAGTGTTCTGTATTAAGTTGCTGCATAGCAAAAGCATCTCACTATGCATGCAAAAGTACTCCTCCTCCAAAACTCACAATCAGTGTTAAAGGCTGACTTCTTTTTTCCTAATTATTTTTCATTAAATGGTTACTTAAAAAAAAAAAAATTAAACCAGTAGATACAAAATGTCCACTCTATGCCATCGGTTTCTTCTGCAGTTTACAGGTACTTAAGATGTCCTTTGCCCCAAAAGTATTTAATACCAATCTAAACACAAATTACACAAGCAAAGCTAACTACTTTGTAGTCCTTTCCACATTAATAGTATTTTACATTAATCTAATGAATCCTCACAGCAATCCTATGAGGTAGGTATCATTACACATACTTTATACAAGGGAAAACTGGGTTAGAAAGGTTAATACTTCACCCATAGCCAAAATGCTTGTCAATAACCAACCTAAAAAATCAGAAAGCAAGTTTCCAGTTCCCTGTTCTATGCTCAAAATGGACCACGCCTCTTCCCTACAAAAATTAAATAAGATACGGGGGGAGCCACAGAAAGCTCTCAGTCTCAGCAAGAACATTCAAGATGATTCAGAGTGAACACTCTCACCATAACAGCTCACAAGTGAGACCAGGTTGCTTGAACAAGTTTACAATGAGTCATGTTTCGAAAGCATCCGTGCTGCAAAGATGCTGCATTATCTGCTACTTTTGCTTCTGCAGCAATAGCAGATTTTAAAAATCAAAACACACACAGGAAAATGTATTTAACATTTCAGAGTCAAGTCTCCATGGCTGTAGTATTTTCTAAACTATTTCCCGCATAAAAGAGAATATTTAAAGTTTAAGTACATCACGTTTTACCACAATCTGCAAGCCAGAGATTATAAACTGGAATATTACACAGCAATTTGACTACAGAGAAATCCTTTACAATAAACAGCCTTTGAACAACCACAGTTCTATTTCACACAACCTAATTTTGTTCTTATTAGCTAACTAATGATGCAGTTTAAGAATAGGCTGTCTTTTTCTTTAAAAAAAAAGTTACATAATACTTAAATAGATTAGATTGAAGTCAGTACCTCAAACCTACATCAATAGCCCCCACCTTATCACTCCATAAATTTAAAGCATTGTAACTGAAATAGCAGGTAAGGAACCTGAAAAGAGACAAGGGCAAAAGCAGATTACCAATAAAGCAAGAGAGTAGGAAATACAGTGTGTGTCGCCCGATAAGCTTTCACATTTAAGTAGTTAATGCAGTAGGGACTGAGCAACTATATGCCTGATTTTTGTTGTTCTTTTGGGGGTGCTTGGGTTATCTGAACATTCATGTTCCTTATATGCCTTGCTCTCTCTCTCAGCATAGTTAACCCACCGTATGTACTCACCTTCTTTCTGGCTCTTGCCCAGCTACTAGATATCCTCCCGCTTCTGGAAGCTGATGCTGGCATATGCATTTGAATCATCGCTGGAGTGGTTACTCCCACGAGGCTGATTAGGGGACTTAGTCTGCTGCTGTGGTGGTGGCTGCTTCCCCCCCAGCATAGAGGTACCCTCTTGGGGTTGGTGGAGGTGGCGGCGGTGATTAAAATCCTTCACTAAGTCCAGGTCAATGTAATTGAGTCCATTCGCAAAACCACTCCCAGCTCCAACTTGCTGTTCTTTCCTGGTAGTACCCAGAGGCCCGCCCAGGTCCCCTCCTGCAGGCCGGAGCCAAACATTCTCAAAGGAGGCCGAGCTGTGGCGCTTGACCTCCTCGGCACTCCCTACACCTCCAGCCCCATAAGGTAAAGGTGCATTCAAACCAGTACTGCCTGCTACTCCACGGGCAGAGCTGGGAGTGGAGGAGAAAGTCTCCGAGCTGTGCCGCCTCCGGCCTCCCTGTGGGTCAGCCCGGATCACTTTGGCACTCTGGTTGCGATTGGGACTGAGGCTGACCCGGGTGAAAGCACTGTTCACCCCTGGACCTCCCATCAGGGAGGAGGAGCGTGGTGGGGCTGCTGCCAACTCAGCTGGTGGTCGTGGCTCAGGGGACGCCAGGGCTGCAGAAGGCGTTTTCTCTGGGCCAGCACGACCTGTCCGCATATCAGCATAACTGAGCAGGAGGTCTGAGGATGATGGGGAAGGGCTATCAACGCAGTCCAGGCAGGGTCCCCCAACACCCCCCCCCAACTGCATAGCCACGTAATCCCGGCTGCTCATAGCTGCCCTTCGGCCAGGCCGAGCCACAGTTCCTGTCCGTGCAGCTGAGTATCCAGCTTGGCAGGCAGCCCGTGGCGTCCCCAAGTCCATATTCATGTACTCCTCAGAACCCTCATCCCCTGCTGGGGGTAAGCCAAGAGATAGGGTGGCCGAGCCAGGCAATGGAAAGACTGGCTTCTCACTTGAGATAAACTCAATGTTCACATATTCCCCGGGGCTCTTGGGCTCTGGGGGCAGTAACAGTGGTGGTTGCTCCCGAGCCCGGGGCAGGGTGCTAGCCTTGGGGCCACCCAGAGACAAGCGTGTAGGTCTGGCCAGGCGGCTCTTGGTCTGAACAGCTGTGTCGACCTTGTGTGGAGGCTGCGGCTGCAGTTGCGGCTGCTGTTGCTGCAAGGGATGTGCGTGATGATGACTGTTGTCCTGGCCACTGCCACCACCAAGGCTGTCACTACTCGTGGAGGAGGATGAGTCCTCAGCAGCATAGAGCAAGCGGCCAGAGCTGAGGGATATGCGCAGCTGGAGGCCACTGTCCTCAGCCACTGCTGCAGTCCTGCGTTGCACATGTTTGAAAGAGCGCGGCAGGGAAAAGTAGGAATAGATGGGCTTGTGGTGAGCTTGGGCTGGGCCCTGTGCAGGGGCCTCCTCTGTACCTGGTGGCCCTGAGCTGGCAAAGTAGCAGTCAGGTGGGGTGCTGGTGGTGGAGCCACTGGCTGGAGACATGTTGATGTAATCACTGCCACCACAGGGCAACTTCCCTTCGTTACTCTCTACCGAGAGCTTTGGGTGATGGCTTGCCCCATTAGTCCATATTTTGCCATAGCCAGCAGGGCCACCATCAGGTGAGTAGCTTCCACTGGGGGACATCATCATGTAGCCATTGGAGTCCACCATGGCCTGGGGATGGCGACCTCCCCGGCCTGGGTTGATGATCTGCTGTGGTGCTGACACACTCTTGGGGCTCATGGGCATGTAATCTCCACCTTTGGGATTGCCACCAACACTGGGCACAGGGGCCACTCCAGGCGACATTGGCATGTAGCCATCATCGGTGTGAGGGGCGGAGTTAGTCCGATGATGGCTGCTGTCCAGGTGGTGCATCTCCAGACACTCCTCAGGATATGAATGAGTGGGCACAAAAGCTGAGTGCCGGTAGGATGGCAAGCGGCTGCCACCACAGGGGTAGGAAGGCAACATTTCTGTGTACTCCTCAATGGATGCCGCTGAAGACTGCGAGGGTGTTTTCTGGTGGGAGATGGTGGGTGAAGTGCCCGCAGAGTGAGTCCGCTTCCTGAAGCCTTTCTCTAGATCCGCTCCCTCCTCACCACCAGCCCGGGAGCAGCATGGGGTGCCAGGGTAGCGAGACTGCTGCTGCTGCGGATGACAGGGGCGAGGCACAAAGTGACCATTGGGAGCTGCCAGGCTGCAGCAAGAGGAGGCAGATTTCCCCCCCATGCAGATGTAGTTATTGAGTTCCTCATCCCCTCGGGCTGGAGGGGTGTGGCCCAGAGAGTCTGGGGTCACACTGCGAAAGGAGCTTCGAAAGTCGCATGGACTGGAGCCATACTCATCAGAAGAAATGAATCCGCCATCACTGGGCGAACCAGAGACCGAAGCACTGGACCGGCGTGGAAAGAGGCAGTCAGAGGTGGAGCCATGGCCGCTGGTGCTGCTGGATGACAGGCTGACTGGGCTGGTGGCTGAAGGGGAGCAGCGTGAAGAAGGCATCGGGATGGAGCGGCTGTGGTTTAGCGGAGGATGAAGTCTAGAACTGCCGCGGTGCCTGTGAGAATGGGTCCGGTTGGTGCTGGGACTAACCGGGCTGCCATCCACAGAGGCAGGCCTGGACATCGTGCCTTCCCCATCACTAGATGCTCGGACTCGGAAAGAGCTGGGCTTGCCACCTGCCCCTCCGCCACCAGCAGGAGAGGTAGCAGTGACACTCTCAGTCCTGGACCTGCGGCTGAGCCCCACCTGGCTGGGCGGGGGGTTATTGACATGGTGTCTGCTGCGGAGGGGCACAGAGATGGGGTTGGAGCAGTTGGAGGACGACTGGCTCTTGCTGCGAGGCCGGAATTCCTCGCTCATGGCTCGCATCGCCTCCAGGATGGTTTCGTGCATGTTCTGTGCCACCACCGAGTCATCCACCTGCATCCAAAACTCACCAGGCCCCGTCACTGCCGAGCGCCCCACCTCGATGAAAAAGAAATTCTCCGAGTGGCCGCAGCGGCGGATGTTGAGCAGCTGCAGCACCACGGCAGCCGCGTCCGAGTTCAGCTTCACAAAGCTGATGGTCTTGTTGGTGAGGCACAGGCGGTAGATGCCAATCAGGTTCTTGGTTTGGCCCAGGCCCTTGGGTTTCAGGATCACTTGCCACACCTCCTTGAAAGCCGGGCCGGGGACCGCCTCGCCGTAACTGTCTTCCCCCGCCTCCCCCAGCCCCACCCCAGTGCCCCCGAAGGCAACATCACTGTGGTGGTGGTGGTGGTGGTGGCCCTTGGCCCGGTTGTGAAGCTGCAGCAGGGCTTGGTACCAGCTCTCCTGCTCTGGCTCGCTGTCGGCGGCGATGGCAAAGTGCTCGTCCTTGGTGTAGAGGGCCACCAGGTGTTTGTTCTTGGAGTCAGCCCGCTTGTTGATGTTGAAGCAGCTCTCCAGCGGGATGGAGCGCTTGGGAGCCCCCGACTTGTGCCTCCACTTCTTCTCGTTCTCGTAGTACTCCAGCCGGGCAGGCCCCGACTCGCTGGCCGCCCGCAGCACGAAGAAGCGCTTGTGCATGCTCTTGGGCTTGCGCAAATAACCCACCTTCCTCACGTC